CTGTGATGCTTATTGGTCTTCAAGGTGCAGATACATACACGATGAATAACACTGAGCCGCCTGTTGTTCAGACGCACAATGATTTAGGAGTCATCGTTAGCTAGGACTTAAAGACTATTGTACACTGCCGTGCAGTAGTCGCTAAGGGTTTTAGAACTGTTTGTTCAATACGTAGCGCCTTTAGTCATGTTGACGCTAGGACATTTTTGACTTTGTGTACAGTATTCGTACGTCCTAAACTTGAGTACTGCATACAAGCAGCTAGACCCTGCCTAAAAAGACAGTAAGCCTTTGGAAAAGATTCAGAGAGCAGCAAATAAGCTGATTCCCGGAATAGCGAAGCTCCCGTATGATGATCGACTGGCCAAGCTAAATCTATTCCTGTTGTTATATAGAAGAACTAGAGGTGACTTGATTACAGTTTTCAAATTAATTAGTGATAAATTTGCACCAGATATGCCCTCATTTTTCTTGTCTTCCAAAACAGGGAATTTAAGAGGATACTCTAGAAAAGTTCACAAGCCCAGAACAAATTACTTGTCAGCTGACTATCGACTTTCCCTTCGAATCATCAACGAGTGGAATTCATTGTCTCAGCACGTGGTAGAGTCTCCTTCCGTCAACTGTTTGAGTGGAAAGTTGGATCAGTCGAGAGACCGTCATTGTCAGGACAAACAAAAGCCACCAAGCCTCCTGCCCTTTCCAAACTGAAATTGAAATTAGCTATTTAAAAAGGACAGTGGTATTTTTCCTCGCTGAGTAAATTTCATTGTTTTGATCGTTTATTACGTATCAAGACTACTGTTTTTCACTTTAATTGAATTTATTTCAGTTAAAGTATTCGACTAAAGTATCGTTTTTACTGTTTTGTCGTTGGTACTCTTTAGTACCACTTTTTCAACTGTATCTGTTAGTACTTTTGGTCCTAGCAATCTACAGCTCTTCACTTTTTTGGTCATTGATAATTTTTTTGTTTCTGGGTATCATCGCATATTGAAAAAACCCCTCCTAAATGACCGGACAGTGTAAAAAAAGCAGTTGCCAACGTCCGGGTTGTCGTTATCCTGTTGAAAGCGGCATGCAGTGCGACGAGTGCAAAGGCTGGTACCACGAAGTTTGCACGAACTTAACGCCTTCTGCTTTCAAACGGTTCAGTAAGAAGGGTTGTGTGTGGCTTTGTCAACAGTGCTGCTCGGATGCAAACAGCTTGTTAACCGAGGCTATCTCACTGGTTGATGCTGCCAAGAAGTGTTTCAACAAGCATAGTCGGAACGCGTCAAACAGCACTCGATCTGTTGACACGCAAATCAATGTGAAGGAAACTAAGGTGAGTCCGGTGATAGATGACTCACGCCCGTCGAAGAAGGAAAAGCAGTATCCAAAGGGGTCTGCCTTAAAAAAAAGCTCAAGAAAAGCAGGGTCTTCTGTTCCCCGTCTCCCAGATGGGATCCAACAGGAAACACCTAGGGGCCGCAATCGCAAGGCTCGATCGGTTTCGACTGGTAAACATAACACGACCCCTCAGGTCGTCGACAACCCCCCAAAACCCAACACTAGTTTTGACGCAACTGCTACTGCTTCTACCAGCAGCGTTAACGAATGGGTAAAGGTTGTAAGGAAGAAAAGTATTGACATAAAAGGGAAACCTGCCCCCGTAAAAGTGGTTGAAAAATCGAAAGCTGATCATAGCGACAGATCAGCTATTTTTCATAGAATTAAGGAGAGCGATAGCTCTGAACCTAAAGCTCGTTTTGAGCATGACATTGTACTGATTAGGCAGCTGCTTAATCAACTCATGCCTCAAAATATGACTGGGGTCACCTTGCTAAAGGTGTATAGACTAGGGAGTCTAACGGACTCGAAACCAAATCATTCCAGACTGCTTAAAGTAGTATTCGGCTCTTCAAACGAACGTGACCTAATTTTACAAAATGGACACAAATTAAAGGGTTCGGGAGTCTTTATCCGAAAGGACCTACCGTTGGCAGACCGTGTTAAAAGACGGGAAGCCGAGAAAGAACTACAACATAGGTTAGACGCTGGCGAAAAGGACCTGAAAATTGTAAATTTTCGGGTTGTAAGACTTCGACAGAGAATGATGCCGAAGCCACTCTGGGTGAAGCACGAAGGCACCTAAACAGGCTTCGGATCTGTTACACCAATGCACGAAGCTTACTTAATAAGCGATCGGAACTAGGTGTACAGATTGACTCTATAAAGCCAGATATAATCGCAGTAACAGAAACCTGGCTGACACAGGCTATAGATAGTATAGAACTTGATTTCGAGGGCTTTACGTTAGTAAGGGCCGACAGAACACAAAAGCGCAAAGGAGGGGGAGTAGCTCTATTCATTAGGAATGCTATCCCATTTACCATTATCGATAGTGTATCCCATGAGAGTGGGACATGCGAATTAGTTAGTCTTCGCTTAAAATGCAAGGGACAAGAGCTGCTGATTGGTTTGGTCTATCGCAGTCCAAGCTGTGAGGCAAATGAGGTCCTGTTAAGCAGTCTCAATACTTGGTCCCAAAGTGGTCGATGTCTAATCCTAGGGGACTTTAATGCACCAATGGTAGACTGGGAAAATCTGCGAACTAAATCGTCAGAAAATTCCTTTGAGCAGGAACTAGTTGATGCGGTTATCACATGTGCCCTAGTGCAACATGTGAAAGAAGCGACTAGGTACGACCCGGACACTGAATCATCCTTATTAGATCTTATACTGACTCACTATGAGGATGATGTTGCGAACCTCCACCATATGCCACCCTTAGGTAAAAGTGACCACGCAGTTTTAACTTTCGACTTCCATATAACTGCCAGTCATGAGGACGCGTCAGTCCAGTCCAGACCCAACGTCTGGAAAGCAAACATACCAGACATCATGCACTCAGCATCGTTAATAGATTGGACAATAGACCCAGAGTCCTCCATTGAAACGGCCTGGGACACATTTCGAAAATCATACTTAAAAGTTACCACACCTCACATCCCTTGGACTATACCAAAGGGGCCGAAAAACTCACCACCATGGTTCAGTAGGGAGGTCCGTATCCTTCTCCGTAAGAAAAGGAAAACGTGGGATAGATTTAGGTTACTGGGGACTGATGAGTCAAAATCTCAGTATCGAAAGGCTCGGAACACTTGTGCCTCGACCCTCCGTAAGTCTAGAAAATTGTACGAAGAAAAACTTGTTAAGGAATCCATAGAATGTCCTAAACGCTTGTATTCCTATATAAACCAAAGGACAAGGAGAAAAGGAAATATTCCTGCTCTATGGGGAGACAGTACTGCTTCATCATTAGTGGAGGACGACTTTGGTAAGGCTCAAGCGTTCTCGAACTACTTTAGCAACGTGTATACCATAGAAGCGCCCTTCTCGTCAGCGTATACAGATCCCCCCATACATACACTGGATAGCGTGACCATTAAAGAACTCGATGTCTTTGGTCTGCTAAATAAGCTTGACATAGGTAAATCCACGGGGCCCGATGAATTACATCCTAGGCTACTGAAGGAATTATCTAACTTCGTTGCGAACCCTTTAAGTACATGCTTTAACCTATCCGTTACGCAGGGTCGCTTACCGAAAGATTGGAAAAACGCCATAGTAAGTCCTGTCTTCAAAACAGGCACGAAACACAAACCTGAGAACTACCGCCCCGTTAGCCTAACTAGTGTGGTTGTTAAAATATTAGAAAAGATTATTCGGAAGGAGCTGTTTAAGTATCTCGATAAAAACCGGATCCTCTCGGAGAAGCAGCATGGCTTCAGAATAGGTTATTCTTGTCTCACTAACTTATTAGTGGCTCGTGAAAGCTGGTGTGCTCTTAAGGACCAAAAGCTACCTGTAGACGTCGCCTTCATTGATTTCAGTAAAGCTTTTGATAAAGTTCCGCACAACCGGCTGTTATATAAGTTAAGAAAAGTTGGGATTGGAGGTAATTTATTGATGTGGATAAAAGACTTCTTAGTTGGGCGTCAACAAAGAGTAAGGGTGAACTCAAAGTTATCTAGCTGGGAAACTGTGCTTAGTGGAGTGCCCCAGGGTACAGTTTTGGGGCCAGTGCTATTCCTCTTATATGTAAATGATCTTCCTTGTCTCCTATCATCATCGGTCTTGCTATATGCTGACGATGTCAAGATATGGAGAACGATACGATGTAAGAGTGATAGCTTAGAACTTCAAAATGACCTGAAGAAGTTATCTGAATGGTCTCAAACATGGCAGTTGCCGATAAATACTTCCAAGTGTGTGGTGATGCATATCGGTCATCAAGGCACAGATACATACACGATGAATAACACTGAGCTACCTGTCGTCCAGACATATAATGACTTAGGAGTTATCGTTAGTCAAGACTTAAAGACTACTGCACACTGCCGTGCAATAGCCGCCAAAAGTTTTAGAACGTTATGGTCAATACGTAGGGCTTTTAGTCATGTCGACACTAAGACGTTTTTGACTTTGTATACAGTGTTCGTTCGTCCTAAACTTGAGTACTGCATACAAGCGGCTAGCCCCTGCTTTAAAAAAGACAGAGAGCTTCTGGAAAAGGTTCAGAGAATGGCGACTAAGCTGGTTCCCGCAATAGCGAAGCTTCCGTATGAATCTCGACTGGCCAAGCTGAACCTTTTCCCGTTGTCATATCGCAGAACTAGAGGCGACTTGATTACAGTCTACAAATTGCTTAGTGATAAATTTGCACCTGATATGCCCTCATTTTTCTTGTCTTCCAAAACAGAGAATTTACGAGGACACTCCAAAAAAGTTCATAAGCCGAGAACAAATTACTTGTCAGCTGACTATCGACTTTCCCATCGAATCATCAACGAGTGGAATTCACTACCTCAGCACGTGGTTGAGGCTCCATCCGTCGACTGTTTTAAAAGAAAGTTGGATCAACTGAGAGACCACCATTGCCAGGACTAACATAGGCCATCGAGCCTCCTGTCCTTCCCAAACTGAAACTGAAACTGAAACTGAAATTAGCTCGTAACGAAGTAACTGAACATTGAAGTGGGAGCGTCAACCTATGCGTTACCGGGATGTCTTCACTGTCGTTTGTACCTCACACTGTTTCTTCAGTTTCTGGACACAAAAGGAAGCATGAAAAAACCCATAAAAAATCCTCAAAAAGGATCAAGCGTAGTGAAGGGGTACATCAGTGTTTAATTCTTTATTTTTCATAAGTCAGATGAAGAGCAAGTGTATACTGGGAATAGAGCCGTTTACAATGATCAGAATGAAGACACCAGAAGTCGATCATGCCCATACCTGGATACTATTAGGAGGAACATGCTGGATTTTGACTTTGAGAAGCTGTGTTCCGTTTCTTTATCTCACCTGAATGTCTACGCCTGTCTAATCTGTGGAAAGTACTTTCAGGTAATTTTATTCCAAGTTTCTTCATAATGAATAGTAATGGATATGGTTCCTGCCAACAACTCAAATGTGTACTATTTGTTTTGCAAATGAAAACTTCGGTAGCTCTTGGGCGTCTTGGCTCTTGATAAATTAGCTTTTGACCCTGCTAAATATCGTACAACTTCGAAAACCTTAATCTTGACTCCGGAAAATTTCCTTATTGTCCTGATGCCGTTTTTTCTTACCAAGTTTAGGCTGGCAATGTCAAGATTGTCCATTGACTTTATTGTATCACTGTTTGCAACCACTTCAATTTTGCATAAACTGAATTTGTTACCTTACTTGGATTCCTGAATTGTACAGAGATTTGAGTTAATAATGTGTCAGTGTTCTACAGATTTGTTATTCGTAGAGACTTGGTGAAGCATTCCGGTAAGCTTTAACTGTGATTGTATTGACTGAAGATAGCAAGATTTTCATCCGTCCAATGTAACTTATATTTCAACAATACGTTTTCACACTTTTTGCCATCGTTGTGTTGGAAATACCGATCTAGTTAGTTGATATTGACCGTGTGATATCTTGGTGATATCACTAGCGTTCACACTGTGACTCAGCTATATTTACATGTGCTTGGTCAGTGGGTTATATTAGGTGCTTGCTTAGTCGTTAAGGCACTTGGCGTTCAATCAATCGATTCTAATCTCTCTCTGCCCACTTTACGTTGGGTATTTGGGTATCATCACTAAGCCTCACACAAAAGTGTGGTTCAAAGTCTAGTGTATGAACGTTTGCGTGTTTAATAAGTTACGGTGTTTTGTTTTATGGTGGAGCTGCATGACAGTTTATTCGTCACTTCAAGTAAATTGAACCAACAGCTCCGCATGATGAATTGCATTTGTACACATTGGGATTCGCAATCAATCAAATTTAACCTAATCATTTCGTTTCTTAAATTTAAAACGCACAGTAATAAATGGAAATACTTATCATAAATGTTTTATATCTTAGGGTCGTGGAAATTCCACTCATGCATATACCCATAGTGTTAGTGAAAGCCACCACGTCTTCCTGAATTTGGAAACTCGACGGTTTTATTGCTTGCCCGATGATTATGAAATTTTAGATGGGTCATTGGAAGACATTACCTACCTACTAAATCCTACTTTCAGTACTCCCGAAATACTTGCTTTGGATAGTTATTCGAAAATGGTCAGAGCATACAATGGTCTTACATATTATCCTGGTGTTGTGGGTCTCAATAATATCAAGGTAGGTTAATTTGTCAATGGCAGTAATAAATCAACCAAATCCCTGGTACTGATAACCCTCTATTTTCTGTTCAGGCTAATGATTATTGCAACGTCATATTACAAATGCTCAGTCATATCAGTCCATTGCGAAATTATTTCTTAGATATCAAAAACTTTGAGAACCTACCTTCTGTCTCTGGAGATCAAATGATGCTTTTGGTCCAAAGATTTAGTGAACTTATTCGAAAATTGTGGAATCCTCGAAACTTCAAAACCCACGTTTCACCTCATGAATTCTTACAGGTAAGTTTATTTCTCTCTTTCAGTTTTCTAATTTTTAGATAGTTCTTTATTTTCTTAGCAATGATGATATTCTTCGGTGTCATCCATATTCTAACAGGTTTTTAGCCGTACACAGAGTAAACGTAACTACTGCCTTTTTAATGATTTTTAACAATCTTAAGCTTTATCATTAAATTACCTAATAAGTATTGATCCTGTTATGACTTTCGGAATTATGCATTTTGACTTAGGATCTTGAGAACATCTAGGATTTATAGCTATGATTAGTTGTTTGAAATGCACAAAATTTAATTACTGAATTTAATAGTTAACCATAGGTCGAACGATGCCTCTTCCTACACAGGTTTGAGTATCTTGAAAAGGGTGGTTACTTTTTCACGTAATATTTATCTCTTAGTGTGTATTTGAACTTTACATTTTGCTTGTCTTTTATTATTTTAATAATTCGTAAATGGTACTGCCAATTAGCCAAATAATAAAGTCCTCAGTTTTCCTATTTGTATTAATAACGTTCTAGTCATTATCAGGTTTAATATCTTAACTATCCAGTAATTAGGATACATACAATTATGTTTTAATATAATGGGAATTTTTCAGCGACCAAAGTTTTGTGATCAGCCCATTGCGTTGAAGGCACTCAATGAGTTCCTGAAGTATAACGCAAAGTTCACAGAAACAAAAACACCAAGTTCATACAACTGTGTTTTAATTAGGATGTGTTTAAAATTATATATCTCGTTTTTTATTTCTCCTACAGGCAGTTGTGCTGTGCAGTAAAAAGCGTTTCCAAATCACTGAACAAGGCGATGCCATTGAATTCCTTTCATGGTTGGTTAATGCAATAGATAAAGCTTTAAGGATTAAAAAAATTCCCTGTCCCAGAGGCGCAGTTAATAAAACCTATAAAAGCATTGTTTCATCAACTTTACGAGGAAAGATGAGAATGTACAGTCGGAAAATCATGCCTGTAAACATGACGGATGAAGAAAAGGCTTCTCTGGCAGACAGCCCTGAATACATGGTATTGTATTTGTTTAAATATGGTATAACTGTTTTTCATAATAACTGATCTGTGTGAAAGGTTTCAGGCATAATTACTAATTCTGGCTGACGTCCAATAGGGTGGTTAGCGATTACAGATATCATATCGATGAAGTGTCTGCATGATGATTGTGAGCAGTAGTGACGAAAGAGATAAATAATAGTTTACGATCGTTTGTTATATTGCTTGTACGAAAGGCTTTCACTGTTTATTAATAGGAAAATTACTATGAAAAGAAAGAAAGCTATACATCTCTGCGAAAAATTATGAAGGAAAATTACTCTTGCTGTGATGTCATAATTCTCTGCACAAACATGTGTTTAGAATAAAAATATTTGAAGAGTATTGCTCCTGTGTGTAAAATCGATGCTTGTCTGAATAGCCGACGAATCTTATGATGCAACATGATTACCTAACCACCTCTTTTCTAATATCGTTTAATTAAGTTAAACACTGAGAACAAGCGGTGGGATATAGAGGTTTAACTATTTTGGAAAATCTAGTTGCTTATCCCTTTGAGGTATGGTGCCAAAAACGTGTTCATTAGTTTTCATGAATTGTATTAATTTCAGGGTTAGTTGACTCAATCTGTGCTACATCTTTTGGCCGCCCATTGCACGTTTTAAAGCAAATAGAATAATCTGTTCTTTGAAGTATTTTCCTAGTAATCTATTATGAAAATTATCTACATGGAATCATTTTCTCGTATTAAAGCATCCTGAACTTTTTCTAAGAACTTGATTATCTAATTACACATATGTATTCTAAGCGTATCTCACCAACTCATAACTGTTACATAGCCATTTAACAGGTCTATCCGACAAAGTGGGCGCCCCCATTCATCGTCGCCTGCACGAACATCAATTAGCGATCAAACGCCATGACATATCCTCACTTATATCAATGTATGTGGACATACATTCGACTGGGAAAATGTTGAGATCTTGGACAGAGGGAATTCTGAAAACATCAGAGAACTTTTAGAAGCTTAGCACTCAGGTCAATCAGCAAACATTGAAATCAACCCAATTTATCAACCAATCAGGAAAATTACGAACAAATATAGGGCCAAGAGTCAAATAAATGGGAGGTACAATCAAAACAAAGAAGTGAACAATGATAAGTTAATGGTCAACAAAAAACAATCAACATTGAGGCGTACAGAACAAGCTGTGAGTCATATGTGGAGAAATTCGAACAGTTCACTCCCACTTGACTTTGGTGCTGATGATGTCGTGTAGAAGAACAACGAAGGCTTCGCGACCAAACCATTCATCTCAGAAAACAAAACTTCAACAAAAACGTTATGTATTTGTCCAGAGACTTGAGTTGCAATAGTTCAAAAGTTTCCTAACGATTAGAAGGTTGCAGATATTTAGCGATCAGAAATAGAAGCCTTCCTTTCAGAAATACAGCTTGGTATACTTTTTAAGAGCTAGTGATCAACGTGACCATGACCTATCTTGTGCATAACGGACAACAAAAGATCCCTCATTTGAATATTTAGCATACCAACTTTTCCACGATTTTCTGAAGACTGGGACCAAAGTGCTGTCTAACAAACATTTGTGCTGTCAACAAAATTTACATAAAATGCCAGATACCAGTAGTAATTGAGACAAGTCGGTTGTACCATGTATCTTTTTATATGTAAGCTACTGGTAGTTTCCCTTTACTATGAGAGATTTCCATTTTTCACATCACAATATCTTAGTATTATCCAATTCTCGATAATCCTGTCAGTATTTCTTCTTTTCCAGACTTCAATATCAGACATAAATTTCTTCTATCTTACGTGTGACTTACCCCCACCTCCACTATATCTAGATGAATTTAAGGAAAACATCATTCCACAAGTTTCATTAGCTACACTACTTTCGAAATTTAACGGAGTTACAGAAAAGGAATACAAGACTCATCGTGATTCTACGTTGCGTCGATTTGAGCTTCGTCGACTACCTCCTTACTTAATTCTTTACATGAAGAGGTTTGTTAAAAACATCTTTACATTGGAGAAGAATCCAACGATAGTTAACTTCCCCATTAGAAGTATTGATTTCGGTGAATTGTTGGCCCCAGAATTTCGAGCTAAACATCGGTAGGCTTAACTGTTTTACCTAACGTTACTTTTTAATCACTTGACTATATAATGTATTTTCACAAACCAATCAACTGTAGTAGGTCAATTATCAACAAGAGTCCGAGCTTCATATGTAAACATAGAATTTAAAACGGGGATATTTACTGCTGTGGTGATGAAATTTCTGTTGTTTTAATTACCTGTAGATTGTAGCTTTTCAGAAGACGATATGAATGTTGGCCAAAATTTGAGCAAATATGACTTAAGCGTATAACGTCTTCAGAAAACTATGTACTGATTTTACTCAATGTTGTAAGGGCTATTTCAAATATCCTCAAGTTTACAATTAACTCGCCACTCTCAATGATAGCTATTCCAGACAAAATGTTTTTTATTACTCTCCATTAAATTTAAGTATGTTTATATTGCTACTACTTATCGCATCTTCGACAATCATCGCCAACGTTTAATTCAAAGATTCCGTCGATTTTTACCTCATATGTTTGTTTTTGTACTTTAAATCAAGCTAAACAGATTATCATGTATCTATCGTTACAATGAGACTTTTGACTTCAGGTTCGTTAGAAACACTGTTCGTACAAAGTCAAAGGATCTTGAAAACTAGTCTCTTTGCAAATAATTCAATGAGCAAAGATGTTAACAAGACTATATGGATTGAGATAGTAAACTAAAAGTTATACTGATTTTCTAGAGTTGGAGCACTTTAACTTTATGGTTGGTATCTGTGCACATGATATACGTATAATCCAGTGGCATTTTACAATTTGAATCGTGGAACTTTAGTTCGTTGTAATAGTTCCTGTCATGTTTTTAGAATAGTGACGTAAGGGAAAGCAACAACCGTTTGGTTTTTGAGCCTTAGTCATATAAATATCATTAAGATTGGTTTCTTCATAAGCACTATTGTCTTGATACATTTTGTCTCAGGATAAAACAATCTTGGATGCATATCAAAACAGCAAACTCCTGACACTCATCTTCCGTTTTCGATCTTTATTATTCGATAAATTTATCACTGTCTACTTGTAGCATAAACCATATTTACCTCCATTTAAACTTCGTTCAGGAAATCTATTCGTATGAACGTAATAATTGTTTTTCAAGCCCAATATAAAAAATCTAGGTTCTTAGCATTGATTGTCTTTCTCTGAACTTTGAATAGGCATACTACTTACGACTTGATAGCCAATATTGTGCATGATGGTCCCCCAACTCCTGGCTCCGGTACGCATCGTATCCACTTAGTACATCGTGGTACTGGAAAATGGTTCGAGCTACAAGACTTGCATGTTAGCGAAGTCTTGCCACAGATGATACCGCTTAGTGAAACTCTTATTCAGGTAAGTAATATTCATTTCATATTTTTTAAAAACGGAAATGTTTTCAATAAGTGATTTATAATCTATGTAAGAGTCCTTTACTAAAACTTCAATCATATTTTTTTTACTTTTAACTAGGTTTGGGCTGTGAATAAGTCTATACCTAATCCATGCTTTGTAGAGCCTGTAAAAGTAATAGATGAGGAGATTGGTGAAGAAACTAAGCCAGAGGTTAAAACTGATGAAAACGAGGAGTGTGAAGAAATTAAGAAGGAAGAGACTATGGATACAGACAATAATAAACCACAAAACTGATTCCTGTCACTTTTTATCGACTTTACCAATAATATAAATTACTGATAAATATTAAGACTTACATGTTTGTGAACGGAATCGGAAGAGTATCACACGATTACGCGCGAAGACTAACCGATTTTCATCACATGACTCGGATGAATTTTTTCGGAGGATGGAGTTTCCTGTCTTGCCATACGATCACTGCTGCACCTTTGATATGACGTTTGACACAGTAGCACCTTCAAAAAGTTCATACTGTTACTGCAGCACGCATTAAATCAAACTGTGAGTCGGCATTACATTAAACCCATTTACTAAGTACTATTTAGAAACTACTTTACTTACTACAGGCTGAATAGTACTATTTGTTATAACAGAAGTATCGTTGGCGGTCTGGTAACTTAACCCATGGTTCAAGTATTCAAACAAACTTCGTAAACGTTATTCTTGGAATCAATAGGTAACTAGTTCGTTCCGAAATACTAATGCACTGAGCAAATCGAACCTAAAAATGGGAGTACAGAGCTCTTTCATATAACACCGCTTTTTTATTAGAATTTCCACGCTGCCACCAGAAGTTGAGACGACGAAGTTCGTTGTAAAGATTGAAATTCGGAAGTCAGTTTTATTAAGAATATACTTGTAAACACAGATAAAGATGGTCATATAACAATTGGAATGTATACTTGGTAGTCACATGAAGCTAAATATTTGAGATCAGTTTCTAAATATAATATTGCACTTCAGTAAAAGTAAGCTTGTAGATTAATGGGATCGAATTCTAGGTTGTATTGCGGGGGGACTCTTCTTCAACTGCAGAAGGAGCACACGCATCCTGTTCAAGTCTCGCTGATTATCCTTCGTATTTATCGGGACGGTGTGAACGTTTGTTGTTTCTTCGTTACCAGAAGTGACGAAATTACACAACTGGCAAACTTTTTCCCATAAAACAGCTTGGCCAGCGTCCACCTGTGACATTCTGGCTGATGCTTCTGCAGCTTTTTGTCGAGCACTTTGAAGTTCTTTGTCATGAGCGCGGCTGAGTTTTTGTCCTCGCGCAAGAGAATCGCGGTACTGAAGTGCCCACTCATGCAAATCCTTTGTAAAGAAACAAAGATAGCAGTGTACCATAGAGACAAATACACATATATGTAGCTCTATAGGTGCAAAATATACTAAGCATCAAAAATATGGGTCTAATGTTATTTGGGGAATTATAATTTTTGGACGAACTAACCAGATTTAAGATGACAGGTCTTGGCTTATAACGCGAAATTTACTCAACAAAAGGCCAAATAGCATGTTGGCGTCATAGCTGACGATGAAGACCCTAACGCCCAACTGTAAATCCTGATTCCACACTTAAATGCAGTAAGTAGACGGCCATTCTCAAGGTTGCCTATACATTATACACTCGCAGTAATTTGATGGGTAGACGTTTGTGGTGTTTAGACTAGTAAATCGAAGGGAACTTTGCTTCCCCCGATCAATTTCATGATAGACACCTTCTACATCGTATATTAGCATGTTTGTCCTTTCTCCTCTGTCTACAAGCAGTTATTTTCACTTTTTATACATGCCTGGTCTTGCTGAGATTCAGCTACGGTGTCGTGAATAACGAGGACTTGAAGTGAAGTATTCTTATATCTAGTCTTGGGTTGTAGCATCCTTTTGGGTAATTCCTAAACTCTATATGTGAGTAAAGTCGAAGGATACAGTATCAAGTCACACAAATCAGCACTTGTGAGATTACTTGTCCGTAATATATGACTGTTAATTAAACGGAATTTGTTTTCAGCACTATTGAAACTAAGTAATAACGATATGTCTAAAACTACTATTGTATACAACTAATATAATCTCTAACATCAAGAAATCAACTGGGGATATCGAGTAAGTCTAGAAGTATAAGTTTATATTGATTATCCGTTTCCTTGCTATGATTTTAAGTTGGAATGACTGGTTGTGTCGAAAACCTCGAGGCCATGTGAGGAATATTCCCCAGTAAAGTGGCTCAAGGGTTTACCTATCATACATGTCTTTTGGTATTCTGAATGTCGCATCAAACAACTGGAGGATTTTCCACGTTATTAAAATATAAATAGGTTTTACTTTTGAATAATATAGTTTGAAAGTTCAGTGTATAATACCTTTACGGTATAACTATTTTAGTTTCTGACATGAACTTGGGAGCAAAGTGTATTGGCTCTGTATGCACTGAAAGTATCGAAACACGGATATACATACGCGAGTCAGAAAGCCACTCAGGATAAAATAGTGAGAGTCCTATAAGAACGTGGGACAAATAACTACAAAACATTGAGTGACCTAATTACATCTTCAATCAAGTTAGGTTTTTTCAGAGGAGAAATCTGTTAAGATCGACGTGCAGCATCATATTTCATCACACAAAACTTTCGTGTAGAGTTGGGAGAAGCAATGGTAGTGTAGCGGTAAATAAATAGCTCTAAGTTTTCGACATTGGATGCTGACCATATGTTTTAGTGGACTCATCTAGCTGAAGGCGCTCGGTCATGCATCCGCACCAGATCACGGGTCGTAACGCCGTGCCCAACATCAACCGCAATCGCTAGCCAGATTAGATCAGAGAATTCCGATATATTGGTCATCGCCAAATATACTCTTTTGATTTCTCTGGGTGGGAACGAAATATATTAGGTGTTACTGGTAGAAGCGTTGTCAAACACTGAATACTTGCCGGAAACCAAGCAAACTAATTTGGGGGCGTAACCCTGACTCATCCGTTTCTTTTAAAAAGTTAGTACTGGTTGCATATTAGACAACTGTCCAAAATGAAGGAAGGATTTATAGTTATGAGCGACTACGTATATAAAAAGGAGTACGGTCAAACTACACATTGAAAATCACTTTGAGTCCTTGTTCTTCTAGCATGAACATGCTTTTACGTTCAGCATCGTCTTTGACCTCTATCCGCTTCTTAAAACTTATGGCCCAAAGTTTTACACACTCCGGTTCCTCGTTTACTTGGTGTTCAACAGCATTATTCTCACCTAAATAATATGGTGTTTTTGAGTGTAGTACAAACCATTTGGTGTAAAATCTAAATCGTCTTCTAGCCCGCGCAATTCTTCCTTTTCTCTTGCTAGGAATTCATGAAGAGCACCATCTGCCGACATTTTCAAACACGACACACCAAGCACTGACCTTGTCGTCATATTACGCCATTAACCTAGTCAAAACAGATCATAAATAGCCCGATATATATCCAGCTAAGATTTATTCCATTTTTGATACTAATCGTATTAGGACATTTAGTATGTTATATGGTTATGTTGCAATCTTGTACATTTGAAACGTTCATTATCACGTTTCTGTAACAAACAATACTCGAAAGGACATTACCTTGAGATAGAAAACATACGATATTCCTGAAAAATATATGAAAACATATTGGTTTCAGGTTGTAGGCCGCGAAATTTACTGATAAAAGAGTGTGCGATCACGAATCGTGATTCAGAATGTATGTTTCCTGTTCTCTTTAAATCCAACGATACAGAAGACTACACTTGACTGTTCTCTTCGTTAAATCCATATAATATTCCAACTCGTAATTTTTCCTCTCACAATTTTGAAGTACCAAAGCAACGTTAATGTATTTTAGTGACTAAAAACGCTTAGTTAAAGTAGATCTCATGAGACTATCACTTCGTCACTACTGTAAACTAAAGTTGGAAGGTTAATAGTAGTTTGTGATTAAGATATTGGGTGTTAAGTAGAGCAATAAAAACCACTATTGGGGGGATGTCTTAGTGATCCTCCAGGCCTTAACCTTTAAAAAACGGGATTTCCAATTTATGGTAGCGATGTCAACTTTTTAATCAAATTTTCAAGGTCTGATTCTTTGATTTGACGTATGAGAGTTAAAAAGTATATCTGAACTTCTTACTTGCCTTCCTGAAGACGGCGCTTATAAAATAAAAGTAGATAGGTGGATGTGACAAGTGTCTGATAATTTGCCCAGCTATTTCTCAAAAATACATCTAATAATAGGACCCTAATGACTGTAATTGAGCATGTGTTGCTTCGTTTCAGTTCAAACCAAAAGTTTTTATTGTAAAATTTAGTAAGCCTTTACATGACCGATAACATTTCCTGTTTTTGTATTATTTCACGTTACTTAATAGCGACCATACCGTTTTATCACTTAAGTTTACTGCTTGAAATATAGTCTATGATCAACTGTGACCTCGCTCAAACACTTGCAAAGCAAAATTATCGGCTATCCAGTGGTGTGGTGAAGCAGTGGACCGAACAGTAGATGCTAGCCCATTAGTTGAAGAGGCTTGGTCTATGTTTAAAGGCATAATTAACTTGGTTACCATGCTTATCACCTTATAGACCTAATAACTGTTCTCCAAGAGTAACCAGAGGGGTCAAGATACGTCTTTGAGGCAGGGAAAAGCAATGGCATTTATTTCTACAGATGCTGTACAGTTCTGATTCGCTTATGCTCAGACCAGGACTGCATGGAAAGAGTTGACAAATGAGGCTAGATTCTTGCAAAAAAACGATGTGTTATGGACTTTGAAAGTATTTCAAAAAGGTCATTTCCATACATGAAAATATGAACTCGGAAAGGTGTCAGGATTTCCCCACTTGAGTCACAGTAGAATTCTGTGAAAAGTGGTAATATTGACAAACCTACATTTTTACCAAAATGTTTCAAGAATAGTATTGAATGACTTAACAACAACTGAAACAATGGCCATCTGAATCTTAACCACATGGTCTTCCTAAGGATACCTCATTATCTCAGACAAGATATGTTCAGTAGACCTGATGATATTCATCATTGGATTATTGAGACCCTTGAGCATGTAAATGTAGAAATTCTGGTAACTGCGTTTGAGGTGTCTCTGATGCATTTTTTAGTTGCCATGTGACTAAATAGATTTAATCAGTCCGGTTTGTGGGGCTAAGAATAAATAATTACTACTTATTGACACATTCAGGGAGGCCACAAGTATTCGGAGTTTGACAGTGCCTTTACCTGCAATACCTTAATAATCGAAGTATACCGACCCAGTCAAATCAGAAGTCAGGAGTGATGAGGTTCGAAGATATATTTGAAAGGCTATCAGCATATCGGGAAGCGTTTAGTCTAAGCTCACTAATGATTGTAGGAGATGCAAAACACGGCGCACTCGCTCGTGACCTGGTTCGAATGCATGATCGAGCGCCTTCAGCTAGTGTATGTCCATTAAAACTAATGAGGTTGTCACCAATGTCGAGGACTTACAAAACCATTTGTTTCGGGGATTTATTTACCACCACGCATTGTTATGATCACTGTGGTCTTCAAGCCATCGGATAGGATTATTTGGACAGTTTTTCAAAACTTTGTGGGTGGGAATACCGGACTTTTGTACTGCTGCATTTGGACTATAGGATTCAAGCTGCGTATCGCTGTTTCCAGTGTGAAGTGAATGATCCAGAACAGGATTAATTGCGAGGGACTTTAATGGTGAAACGTTTCTCCACAGACTGGTGAGTCTTAACATTTCTCCATTATCCTACAGCAGGTGAATTCCGTGTCAGAAATCATTACATCAAAACTTTATTTCGATACATCCATAGTGAGACTGGATTTTTAGAGTGCTACAAGATGTGAAGTGTAACACAATTCATTTGACCCCTATCGTTAATACTGATAAACAAAGATGGAATATGAACTTTTTTTGGCATACATGATCTTCATTGCACCATCGCGGTCAATCATTGTGGTGTGCTTCTGTAAAAAGAATTGAAATTGACCAGTGAAATTCATTGATGTGCTACATCGTCTGATGAAAAAACCGCTTCGTTTGAAATGTATGGCAGCGGATGCTGTTATGCGAATTGTGGTAACATAATTAAACGGGACATAACTATGATTCAGGTACGTCAGTGAACGTCATATCAAACTCTTGCAAGCTGGATAAGACCCTAGTACCTGACGTGGTTTCTTTAAGGACCCATTTTCCGAGTGCTTAGTTGCTGCATGGCTATTTGTTTAGCAGTGTTATTTGAAGTAACAGACATGCCTAAATTAGGTAATAATAATTTCTGGCGTAGGTTTGAAAGCCAACCTAATTTAACTTTATGGTAGAAAATGTACTTCAGAAGATTTAATATGACAATAACTGAAGTTTCATGGTAATGAATGTGTTTCTGATTTTTAATGAGCAAACCATCAGCAGTGTATAGCATATTTTCATTGACTGTTAACTAAATCTGTGCTTCAGTAATGTGATTAAGCTGAAGGCTTAAACTGATGATTAAAGCTAACTACTTAATAAGGGCCATGGGAATGGTTCACGCAGCCACAAGTTGAACTTTATACATACGTTTTTTCTTTGTAGGAAGACCTAAATTATTCCGAAGCATCAGTAAATTACAGGAAAAGTAAAAGTACCAGTGAATATACATGTAAGACTTTCTTAAGCTACGCCTATCTATTGGCTATGTCACTCAAGTCAATATAGTCCTGTATAGTCCAGTGTAGTCATGTTACAAAACCAAATTCTAAGCTTAACTCAGGAAAGGAGTTAAATAATAAATGACTAGTCAAGGAACATCATCAAAAATACAAAATACCTCAAACGGTACAGCCTGTGCTATAAAGTCAGAAGTTTCTCCAACGCAAAGTAGCGCGCTAAACAATGAAAAAGACAGTTAATACTAAAGGGTTTGATACCTGAGAATCAATACAAATATTCCCAACAAGATGGGATCAAATATCTATCTGCAGGGATTGCAGCAATTCTTCCAAGCAGACAGTCAGAGGGTTAACAGTCACAGACTGAACCACGCCGTGACCGTGAGCTTAGTCAAACGCGACCTTACAGTCAATGGTCCGACAACATGCAATAGAAAATTAGGTAACAAAAGATAAGTCTTTCATCAAAATCACATAACAAAGGCTCAAACGACGAAGACTGAAGAACAAAAGATATGGTTAAACGAGATCGGAACAAAGGTTGGAATGCAAAAAAGGGGGAAGGAACAAATAAATGAAAATACTGTTCAACAAAGAAGCTGCAGAGGGATTTTCATTGTTCTCTTTCCGTTACACACTCTATTCACAATCGATTACAATCAGCATTGGCGGGTCAGAATCTTCTGAGCACTATTTCTATTACAGTATTTTCTTGTAATAAGAAACAATTTTATTAACCATATGCTTTGAAATACACATTCTGAAAGTGATAGAAGGTTCTCAAGTAAAGTAAGTATAGAACATAAAATAAAAATAGAAACAACAAATCACTGAAAAGTCAATGAGATATGGAAACTGTCTGAAAGCATGCTCCTGGTGAGAATATCCAGTGTATTGAAGAAAACTTCATCTAGATGCTTTTGCGTGATCTTAGAAATTTTCTTGAAAACACGAGTTACTAACTTATAGGTTTTTGAACGTTCTATTGTTTTCAGATAACTGTGAGATAATGTAAAACAACATGTTAACCGAAGACTAAGGTGATAGGAATATTATAAAGTCAGTGAAATGTTGGTGGGTCCTAGCCAAATCATCCGTCAGTCGGGTCACCAAATTTCGAACAGCTCACCGATCCTCGTAAAGGCCAATGAGAGTTAAAACACATTAATGGACTGCACATCATAGTCTGGCCCATGAGTTGGTGATGTATTCTGTTCCTTGTAATTAATCTTACTACTGCATTTCTGCGATAACTTTTTGTACTAAACGGGCATCAAAGCGGCTATAGTACCTGGATACGATGGAGGGTTAGTCCACGTTAGATACTAGTAGTACTAGTAGTACATAGACGTGCTACGCACCAACCTCCCCAACTGACTACTGATGGAGAAGACAAGAGTAAAAGAAAAAAGTCAATTTTCTGCCCATGCATAAATACTCACTTATGTACATATTTGTATGTTTCACCTCTCAGGGAATTAGTTCATTTGTTAGCCAGTGAAATGCGATTGTCCTCTAGAGCATTTCTGACTGGCACCAAGTGAGCTCATTCAGATACTTCTAATTGGCCGACTATATCGAATTTCACCGTACAGCAATGTACAAACAGACTGTAGAAAAAAACTAATATTACACTCATAGTGACAGGCCCTATGGAAATTTCCCCCAATACAGGTATAATATGACTTTATTCTCCCTTAGAAATGATTGAGTAATTTGCTGCACTAAGTATC